AAAAAAAAAAGTGCTATCTCCCTCTTCAGTGTTAATTGTACTTCCATGAAATATATATATGTAAATGAAAAAGACCGAGATGAGGAAAAAGTAGGTGGGCAACAAAAAGCTACATAAATTGACAAACAAAACTCATAGAAGTCTGTAATTCTGTTCTGAGATTGCACACGGTCTAGACACAGAGAAATGGGGTTAAAATTGCTGCCGAAGAGAAACCTGAAGGAGGGATTTCCCTGTGCTACAGGGTTGCTTGCTTTTATTAGTTCAGTGATGTACAGTGGGACTATTTCTCTTGGAAATGGCCTTTTGCTTAACATTTCATTTTCCTTCCCAAAGTTAGCTCTTGCTCTCAGTGATATGAAACGCTGCACCCTGCAAATGGCTGTCCCTGAACTTATATTAATACCACTTCTTGTTGTAAATGATCTGTTTCAGAACAAGTAATAAAGGCCTTGTTTTGCAGGTAACTATGCCTGCACCCTTTATCTCAAGGGGTTTCCATAGCTGAAGAGGGATGAAAAATTTCTTAATAAAAAAATAAAAAGAATGAAACTCATAATACGCTGCATCAATAGTTATATCATTTTTATACCAGCTGCTTCTCTTTAGGAATCTGAGGCCACACACTAATTTAATATAGCTAAATTGGCCCATATTTTGATGTAATCTATCATACTGATACTGAATTCTCAGCCATTGTCACTTGGTTATTACACAGTGCATCCCAATAACAGTGGCTGGCGAGCTACCAAGTTCAGTGGTGCAGACCTGAGGAAAACACCCCTTTTCAGGGACAGCAAGGAAGTACAGAATAACTGGCCTTGGGTTAACATACACTCATCATTGATGAATATGAGAAAATTACACTGAGGGTCCTGTTACTCTTGAGCATCTTCATGGTAGCGATTGCATCCTGGTCATTTCTCTGTTTCTTTCTTGTTTTAGTGTTTTCTGACCCTCTCAGTTTCTTTCCCTTGCTGGATTGCGCTGCGGGTGCTGGTGCTTTGCAGTGGAGCCAGCAGCAGCCTTTCATGGTGACAGAAAGGCCACGACACCTCAAGGTTTCCCCAGGCCCAGGCTCCAGAGTTACTGCCTTGTCTACCCTGGCTCATGAATGGAAGTAATTTCTCCTTTTTTTGTGTGTGTTTTTTTGTGGCGTGGAGATGGCAGAAAGCCGATTTATTCATCATTCTTGCCCTGCAACAGTTCTCAATGCTTATCTGAGCAGTCCCACTACGAAAAGCATCCTCCAACTGCCAGGCTGGCCAGGGCGCCAAGGGGCTCCAAAGTGATGCTTTATTTTTCAAGCACATCTCCATTTATTTCCTTTTAATGCAGTCGGGGAGGGGCAGCCTTTACTAACTGTTTAGAAATACAATTAGCCAAAGCACACAGGACGCTGGCAGGCGGGAAAGTAACCTTGAATCTAGAGAAAGTTAGGGAAAATTTAAAGCCGGCTGCAGCCGATATGGGTCCCTGTGCACCCTTTTTGCTCACAGCTTCTATTCACGCCAATAAAGTACCAGAAAATATGCAATACAATGGAAAATTGCTTCTATGGGTATCATAGCGTCTTGACTTAGAAGTGCTTTAACCTTGGCCTCATGCTTCCTGCGGGGCCTTTGCTGCATAAGTACTGACGCTAGCGCGGAGCGTGCAGAATTTTTCATGTGAGTGAAATTAAAACCCGAAACCTTCACCATTCTCTTGATTCCAGCCGTGTTCTAGGTGCACTGAATGGAACTTAATGGACTGAAAAATGAGCATTTTGGCACGTATAGGAGTGGATTGTTTGTGAGAGAGAGCGAGGTCCTCGCGTTTTCATGTGTTTCCTTCCTCACCCCTGCCCACCTTCCCCTGGAAACGGGCACGTTCATCTGTGTGGGTGAAGGGAATGAAGGCAGTCTGTTTGAACACCGCACCGCTCCAGCATCTCTCTGTCTCCAAACATTAAAGACAAATTTCCCTGGGAAGCCCTTTGCCACCCCCTCAAAAACACCACCAGAGAACTCCCCCAAAGCTTTTGTTATTTAAAAAAAAAGCACAATAACTAATCCAGGCCAACTGCAGGAGCACAGCTGGCCACTGGGAAGTCTAGAGAAACTGTCCCTGCGAGGCAGAGGCTGCATCCATCAATCCAGCTAATGACGCAGCCAGCGTCACCGTTTCCTATTTATTAATCTGGAATGATTTTTATTAACCAAGCGCTTGATGTAAAGGATGTAAATGACACCCTGCAGCTAACAGGGTTTATTACGGTCGCTTCTGAATCCCTTTGAGGCAGAAAACAGGGCCCTGCAAGGCAGAGCGGGCTACCCAAGCTGTGCCCAGCTCCCGGTGCACTTCCCTCTGCAAGGCAGCTATTGAGCCTCATTCAGGTGGGTGAAGCAAAGCCTGGAAAGCTCCAATTTTTTGCTTTCCAAATTCACATTGTTTCCAAAACTAGGTGGTCTTGTGACTTGGCGGTTTCTCAAAGCAAGAAGCCAGGCTGCTTCTGAAATGCCATGTTGGATGGTCCATAGGGATAGCGTTGTGGGACAGTGGCCCAGGGGTTTTGCTATGAGCTTTCATGGGTGCCTCTATAACTAGCAGGAAGTATTTTGTGTGCTGTAATGCTCAAAAATACCTTCACTGTGTCCTTTCTCATACCAGATGCCTTATAATCTAAATGAGCATCTTTAATAGTGGCATTAATTATTACTGAAATTCTGCTCTGTCCCACTGAAACAAGTCTAATAGCTCCTGATAGCTCGCTCTTCCTCCTTCCCTTTGCCAGACTCCATTACCTTTCTCCAGAGGAAAGTTGTATGGAAAAGGGGCTGTGCTCCTGGCCACGTGGATGCCGGGACACACAACTTTCCTGAGCCCAACGTGGGTCAGGTGGTCGAAATGCAGCTCAGAACTTCATTTACCCTGGATCTTTGAGCACGCGGAGAGGGTCATGCACAGGGCCCATGCACGTTGCAACCGCCATGGCTCAGGAACGGTCCTTAATGAGGACAAGCTTGTCCACTTGGCGAGGAGAAGGAGGCTGTGCCACCTGCTTCATATTGCGGGAGTAAGAAACGGCATCACATTGAAGTGCAGGGAGCATTTAGAGCCATCACGTGGCTGTTCTCCACTGGTTTTTTCCTATCTCAGTTCATGGAGCCAGTGTCAACCTTGCAGAAGACCTTAGAAAGGGTTGCGTGAGTAGTGGGTTTTGAGATGTGCCTCCTGCTGCAAAGATATCGCAGATACTGAACCCCATTGACTGCTGGTAGCTGGGACACAACTTCTGCTGAGATCAGACATCTCCCTGCACGTCACCTCAGCGGAACAGGGAAGGACGGTGCCTGCGGAGGAGGTTGTGATCCCCCATCTAATAACATATGTAGCAGACACCTTTCCCTTGAGACAGCAGCCTCTGGAAGCCCAGGACGAACCTTTCAACAAGATTAAAGAGATGGTATTAATTGCTATCGATCATGGGTCAACAAATTAAATTGCATCTGCAACTGCATCTCTGAAAGGGCTAAATGAGAAGAGTAGTTAATGGGTCTGGCTGGCCCAGCGCTGCAATTAATTAAAGGGAGAAATGAACTAAAAACGCAAAGAAGAAGAAGAAAGGAAAAAAGAGAGCTGGAGCACAAGTGCAGAGAGTGCTCAGTGCAGTGGCAGTGGAGAGGGGTTTTATTACCAGGTGCTTATGGACACAGCACCAGGCCGTCGCCTCAGCCCTGCTGGGATGGTACTTTCTGCTGGGCCCAGTTAGGCGGAGCCTACATGTATGAGCTGTCTGGAGCTGGGATGCCTCCTCCTGTGGCACCAGGTTGCCGTGAACTGAATATATATATATGTGTGTGTGTGTATACATACATATATATATGTATATATGTTTTATTTTTAATATTGACCACTGCTGAAACACCCCACTCTTCCCCACTGCAGCAAAGAGAACTTTGTGTTGCACAAAGTGATCTCTCTAGTTCAGGCACTGTGAAGGTCCCAGGGAAGGGCCTCTATGATTAGCGTCTTCTGTTTTTGGACTCAGTAGCCTGAAAAGATGTAAAAAAGCACATTTTTATGTTGTTCAGCAATCTGTCCCACCGAAGTCACAGAGCTAAAATAAAAGGCTCTTCCCAGGCCGCGTGGCAGCTCACTGCAAAGCAGCCTGTTGGAAGCTGTGAGTAAGATACTACCTGGTGGGCCAAAGAGCACTGCCTTTTGGAAAATAGTGAAGTAGCACAGCACGGAAATGTAGATGATGTTTAATTAATAATGAAAAAAATAAGAATATGTAGCACGTATAGCGCTGTACTTGTTCCAGGCACTGTACAAACATTAACTACAGTAATTAAGCTGTAATTAATTAGAGTAACTACTAATCAGTGTAAATAATGATGCAGCTGGAGATACCAAATGGTGTTTGTGAACTGAAAGCAAATTTCCATGTCTGTGAAATGGCATCAAATATAAAATGGCAGCAAAATGTGCAAAGAAGTCTCAAAGGTGCAGTGGGCAACTCATTGCTTGCTTGGTGGCTAGTGATGAAAAGGGCTGAGAATCCCAGTTCAGGCCGTATTTTGCCACCAAGAAAAGCAGGTGGATGGGAAGGACGCTGGGACAGAGGTGAAATCAGGGCTGCTTTGGTAGCGCTGCTGGAGCTCAGCTGATTTATAGCAGCCGAGGGTCTCACCGCCCAGCTGAGCCTGGTGGCAATTGAGGACTTCTACAGCTATTCCTGGGCACAAACCCAACCTTGCCCATCTTGTCTCATGGTCAACGCGCTCACTAACACCCTAGAAAGTCCATGATGAGGATGTGACGACAATTAGGACCTTGTGGGGTTGGGTTTGGAGGAGTAAAATACACCACAAATATGTAATTTTGGTTTTTGCTGGTTCACACACTTTATATTTAACAAAATAGTTTTTTTAATAATATATTCTCTTACACATCAAATATTGTTTCTAGAACCCTCCCCCCCCCCTTTTTTTACAGTATAGTTTGTTTCTCACTAGTTTCAGGCACACTATTGTTTAGAGATTTGAAACTGGATCGTCATTGACAGGCAACGGCTCTCAGATAAACGCAATGATGACCGACTGAATGGTAGAAGTGCAGGAGACAAAAATCTTGGCAGAAAGAAACCTACTGCGGTGGAGAATCTGGGAATATGAAAAATGCAGAAGAAATAAGAATATTAAAGGCAACAGTGTGCAAAAGTGGAGACTGCGTTGACACCGGTGCGGCATTGCTTCGCTGCAGGGCGCTGCTAGGGGACCTCGCTGCTGTCGCCAGTGAGGGTGAGTGTTAGACCGAGGTCTGAGCAGAATAATCCCTGTGGGTCACCCTGCTGAGAGCATGGGAAAGCAGGGAAGGAGCCGGCTCCGGCTCCTCCCACGGAGTGGGTGTACGGTGGGGCCTGCGTGGCAGGCGTCCGGAGCCGGCCGCGCTCGGGCACCCTGCGGGAAGCAGCCGCGCTGCCTTGCAGCCCACCAGCTTCTGCAGGGCCAGCGACTTCCCCGCCGTGCTGGAAGTGACTGCTGGTGGAGGGGCAGCCCCAGAGCACCCCGGGGAATCACCGGCTCCTGGGCACGAGCACAAGGCTGGGCCTGGCCGGGACCTCCCGGTTCATTTTGTGATACCATTTCCGTGCTCCAGGGGTGGGTATGGAATCCTCTTGAGGCGCTGCGGTGGCTTTGGGCTTTGTTGTAATGTGCGGTGGCCAAGTCCTGCTGTCGCTGAAGTCAACAGGGACCTACTTACCTCAGCCTCACCACTTGCACCCGAGGGGCATCCTGCAGCGAGACGAACCAAGTCGCAAGGAAAGCCGGCAAAACCGCTTCCCCCACGAGGGAGAAGGACTGCAGCATTTAGGATAAGAAGTTGTTCTCCAGGGGATGCCCTTCAAATAAATTGCCTTGACAGGGTCCTGGCCGCTGCCTCACAGGGCCTGGCCTTGTTCACCAGAGGGACTGTGAGGCCGGAGGTGGCATCGACTCTGTTGTCCCCACTCAGTGGGGAGGTGCCATCTGGACAGCGCTCGCGCCTCGCCACACACCCGGGTACCTGCACATCCCACGTACTGCCTTCCAGCTGCAATCCCTGCTCCCCTCTCCATTTATACATCCCCCGGTCCTTTGTGGCCCTCCCTCCTGCTCTTGGTTTTTAGCCTCCACAGACACTGTAAACAAAATAATTAATTGCTTCACTCAAACCTGTATTGCCCCAGATGACGAAAAAAAAAATCACGACAGCGAAAAAGATGAAATAAATAAAACCTGCCAAGTGCAGTCCCCATTGCCCAGCGTGAGAGAGTGAAGTCCTGGGAGCGTCACCGGAGCTTACACAGGGTTGTCTTGTTCTTCTTTCCGTCCTTCCCTCCCACGCCAGCTCCAAAAGACGTGACCACCGCACCCCAGTCCAGCCTGGCAATTAAAAAGCAGGGTAGCTCCCGCGAGCCCGTACACACAGGAGGTGAAGCGAGAGGCGAGCGCGGGGCAGCGAGGAGCCCTTCCCGTGCGGGCAGGCGGCGGCTCCGGGGCTCGGCCGGCGCCTGGAGCCGCGGGCGCTACAGGGCCTGCTTGCCCTGGCACTCGCGCTTGGAGCACTGCGCCGGCTTCCACCAGTCCCCGTTGTGGCAGTGGCAGATGTTGCAGTCGTCCACCTTCACCTCGATGCCGGCGGGGATGATGGTGGTGCCCGCGAAGCAGTTGGGACCTGCAAGCACACACGAGAGGAAAAAAAAGCCTTTTTTTCTTCCCCTTATTTTACTGATGTGTCTAGAGGTGCCTGACATGTCTCACTATATTTATAGGCACCTGCTTGTGCTCCTGCTGAAACAGGGCTGCCAGCAATGAAAATAAGAATAAAAATACTCATGCAATTCATTTGCTTCTCCTGTTTCTCCCCAGAAAACACCAATAGAGATGGGATCAGGTGCCCCATGGGGGCCAAGAGGACACTGCCCTTTTAATCATCTGCCTACTGATTTGGGCACTAATTAATTGCCTCTCTTGTCAGGTTTGGTTACAAGGACAAGAAGATGTGGAGGAGCATCAGGGCAGAGGCACTTTGCTGCTCCAAACCGGTGAGTTCCCACTGCTGTGTGTGGCCGGCAGCCGGGCAATCCCCCTCGGACTGGGGCCGTCACCAGCTGCACCCAAACTCCTGGTAATCCCGGGGATCCCACCAGCTGGGGGGTGTTCACTGTGATTTGCAGCATCAGGTTAACAAAAACAATTCATCTCCACATAAGCTTTCCGACAAATTGGATTCTACAAAGGGAAAAGTCTGCTCACTAGGGGAAGTTTTTTGGTCTATTATAAAGTATCAAAGCTGAGGAGCAGGTCAGCAAGGATTATCTTTTTTTCCACTCTCAGGCAAGGCCTGAGAATACCCACTGCCCCTGCACAAACCTGCTCCTCCTCCCCACTTACTCCTGCCTTAATTAGTGTCAGAGGCAACAGCATATGGAAAAGATCAGGGTGGCACTAGCACCACCAAGGAAGCGAGAAGCCATTTGAGTGTCTCATGATTCACGTGCTGCTCCGAAACGTCACCCTTTGTCCCACTGCACTTCTACAGCTATTCCCTCTACAGCACAAGGTACCCAGGAAAGACAGGAGCCTGTATAAACACGACAGTTCAGGCAAGTCATTAGTGCTGAAAACAAGATTTACGACACTTTGAAAGGGGAAGTCGGGCTGGTTTATGCCTCTGTGTCTCCCCGAGAGAAGCCTGTGCACGTGCTCGTGCAGCTGGGCACGCACGGCAGCGCTCGGCGGCTCCTCCGAGCCGCTTTGCAAAGGTCACTGCCTCCTCCTGCCCACCGAAAGGTCTCGCAGGGAAGCGCTTGGTGTTGTTCTGCAGAGCGATGTTTCCATTAAGTGCCCTCGCTGGCTCGGTTTCGGCCCTGGGCCCTTTCCAGCCCTGCGCGGGGTCTTGCCCCGAGCCGCCAGCCTGCGGAGCACCGGGCCCCGCAGCAGCACCTGCCTGCACCCGGTGCCCCGCTGGCCTCTCTGCCAGCTCCAGCCCCTACAGGAGCCACTGCGGGGCTGGCAATAAGCTGAGCTGGTGCCAGGCAGCCCCGGGCAAGGGCCCGGGTCCTGCAGGGCCAGAAAGCTCCTGATCTCAGCCCACTGCTGAGCTCAGCTCACAGCACTAAGTGAGGCCGCTGCCAAGCAAGGTGGGTGGTGGTGCTTGCATTTTGTTCCCATTTCAGTGACCCTCCCCTTTAATAAATGCCTCTACGCATCGAGATCAGCTGTAGAGCAGCTTTTTATGCTCCTGTTAACAGAGCCACAAGAGAAGTGCCTGAGCAAGGCGCCTCAGATCAGTTCAATCAGTTGCTGCAGCTTGAGAGCTGCAGTTTGTGCATCTAAATCCTGATTTTTATTTATTTCACATTTCTTTATTTATTTATGCCACTGAGGCATCTCTGAAAGTGTGAGATTTGGGCACTGCCTGCTGCCCTGATACATTTTTCCCTGTCGTGACAGACTTTTGCTCACCCTGTGGTATCCGCAAGGCTGAACAGGCAGACGTTGGTTGTAACCCCCACAACATCCAGTTTCTGGTATATTTTCTGCTTTGCAGCTGCTCATACATCACTTGGCATTCACAAAGTGATCCCACTTTTCCTCTGCAATGGATTACTCTTCCGTAATCTGAATCTGAAGAGGGACAGGGGGACTGTTTGGTCTTGAGCTGGGCATTTTTGCAATTGCTGCTGATTTTCCTCCTGCCCTTGCCCCTTTGGAAACATCTTGCAAATGATGTTTGCTGCAGCTTCTCCTCACAGCCAGCATCTTGCAGAAGGCCACATTCCAAGCCGGGAAGGCTGTGATCCCATCCGTGATATTTCTCTGGCAACCTCTGGAAATTGCCATCCCCTTAGATGGTTTGTAGGCCTCGGTGTTGGCTGCTCTGTGTTGCTGCCTGCGCCGGTCGCAACAGATTTTAATTCTCTGCTTCATGAAGTCTGATGGATGCTGTCGTGTTATGATGCTCCGAACAGGCTTTTCCATCAGGTGCACTCATTTTCTGCTGTTAAAAGTCCGGGGTCAAATGCAATGGAAATGCCAATAATTGTAGCTGGCTGTATTTAAAGTCAAAGTAGGTGCTGGTATCTCTTAACTCGGATGAGCTGGTCGCCTGCCAGCGTCGGGCAGGCCGGGATGGGCGGGCTCCAAGGAGAAAACCCCTTTTCATTAAAATTTAAACACAAAGCTTCCTCTGGAGATTAGGGTGGCAAGGAAAGGGGAAGATTGTTTTCACTGTTGTTGCCCTCCGGCTGCCTGTTAATCATCTTATTTGAGAATCCAATAGTGCCTCGACACCCACACGCGCTCCGCACGCCGAGCCTTCTCCGGGTGCTTAACTATCCAAGATTTATAGCCCTGAGGCAATTAAGCTTTGCCCAAAGCACAAGGGAGCCCCGGGAAGCGGCCGTTTTTCAGCCCTTCCTCCGCCTCCCCAGGTCTCTTAGCCCCCTTGGGCTCCTCTTCTTCCCCGTCTGGGTCAAAAACAACCATCAAACAGCCCTCAGAGATGCCTCTATCCACGGGATGGAGGGCCAGAGAGGGGAGATGCAGCAGGACGCAGCCCTGCAGAGTGGGCCGACGTGATGGAAGGGGAGCCGGGCAGGGGGCTGCCCCAAGAGCACCTCCCAAGTCTCTGAGGCCGGGAGGTGGGCACTCATTGTGGGCAAGGAACAAGCAGCTCTGCCTGCACTGCAGAACGCAGGAGCACAGGCCCTGGGGAGCCTTCTGGTGGTCCTGGGCTTCTGCAGAGCCAACAGCTAATCCAGGGACAAAAAGGACAAACTCAAGCCCCTGGGGACATTAGAGGGATTTGCAACCTGTAAGTCCCTGGCTGGATTATGTGGCAAAAAATGGCATCTTTTGATCTGCAGCACATCCGACTGCGCTGCTCTAAGCTCTGCCCTTTCCACCCCCTTGGCTGGCCCTGTGAGCGTTGGGGAGCCCGTGTGCGCGCCGAGGCCGCCGGCTCTGCCCAGGCCTCACAAAGAACGGGACACAACAGCCACTGCTGATTTTCCTTTTTTAAAAAAAATTCAAAAGAAGAGGCAGCTCAGAAACCCTTGATGACGTCAAACACATCAAGAAAGCTATTTATTATAATAGCAGTAGTAGCAAGCAGCTTCTCCGGGCAAAGGCTGTCATCTTGTTCTCTGTGAAAGCATCTCCAGCCGTGAATGCAAGGCTACGATGTGAGCAGAACAGTAATAACCATTTTTTCCCTGCTCAGGGGAGACTGATGGCAGAAGTTGCTGCTCCCGCAGACAGCGTAATGGTGAGATTTGCTTTGCTTAGCATAATTAATACTTAGACAAGACCGCAGCACTCTGGGCTGTTTGCGAAGACAACTGGGAACATTTTTATGGCCCTGTATCGTGGAAATGCAGACACTGCTAAGACAGGAGCGATGCGGCTCAAGGAGCAGGGACACGTATGTATCATTGGTCGCAAGCAGTGACAATAAATTTGGCATCCCTGCCAGGTGAGGCTGGGTAAACACCGCGGTCCCAAACCACACGCAGGGACCTGCAGCAGCGCCAGGTTTAGCTTCACACGTGCAAAGGGGCAGCAAAAGGCAGCCTGACATGAAGCACCGCTCACTTCAGGCCAGCTGTGATACTCAACTCGGTCCTGAGGGCTCTGCACCTTCCCTGGGACCTCTCAGGCAACAGTGCCCTATTTCAGCAGTGAGGGTTTTCTTTTTCCTCCTGGTTGAAGGCTGGCTGGTGATACCCCTGTGTCCTCCTCCGCTGCTTTAAGAGCACCCATCCCACTGGAGATATCAAGGATGGCTCTAAGACTTCAGCTCATTCAGTCAGTGGATAATATGGCCTAGGAGAGAGGTGCCCCACCCCTCCCTTTGCAAAGGATAGTGAGAAGTGCTGTTCCCTAGGAGTGGGAATTACGTCCTTCTTCCCATAGTATGTAGGCATGGAGATCCCTGCACACACCCCCATGAATGTTCATGCAAAGGGCTTGACGACTTTGCTCCAGGAGCTTGTCCAAGCCTGGGTGAATTTACTGCCAGCAAATCTGGCCCAATGCAGCTCTCCCTCCCCAAAGCTCACGAGCCATCCGGGGGACTGCAGGGGAGATTTGCAGGAGCAGTTTCCCCACGCAGGGGGATTTCCTCATTGACCTCCCAGGCTCCATCTCAGGCACCTGAAATCCTGGCCACCTGCCCATCTTCTTGCCCAGCCTCTCGGCACCTTGAGGCTTTTTCCCCGTCCAGCCCCAACTCTCCAGCACCCGTTGGCTCCCAGGCTTCCCTGGGGAGCTCACACAGCAGCTTCGCTGGGCAGATGTGAGGCCACCAAGCCCAGCTCCATGGGCTCCAGCTCCCTAAATCACGACCCGGCTCCCAGGGACACAGACTGATTTAATCCTGCTCTGCACCACGCGCCGAGCTGCTCCGACGGCCTGTGATCAGTCTCGATGACGAGCAGCAGCCCCAAACAAATTAGGGAGCTGTCCAGAAGGGAATACACCGCATTACTCCTCCTTATTGATGGCACAGTCACTTAATTTGATGCGGAGACGCAACTTCAGGCATCACTAAATACTGCAGCAGAAATGGCTTGGTGCAAGGAAGATCTACGAGCGCAATCTGAAAGCAGCCTGTATTGGATTGGTGACGTCCCCCGGGGCGACAGGGAGCAGAGGGGCACGAGCAGGAGG